AACCACTAAATACATAACCATATAACCATATAACCATATAACAACATAACCCATAACCATAACCACATAATCATATAACCACTAACCACATAGCCACATAACCATATAACCATATAACCACATAACCATATAACCACAAACCACATAACCATATAACCACATAACCATATAACCACATAACCATATAACCATATAACCACTAACCATATAACCATATAACCATATAACCATATAACCATATAACCATATAACCATAACCATAAACATCCACATAACACATATAACCATATAACCATATAACCACATAACCATATAACCATATAACCACATAACGATATAACCACATAACCATATAACCATATAACCATATAACCATATAACCATATAACCATATAACCATAACCATAAACCATAACCATATAACCATATAACCACATAACCATATAACCACATTGCCACATAACCATATAACCATATAACCACTAACCAAATAACCATATAACCATATACCACATAACCATATAACCACATAACCATATAACCATATAACCATACATAACATAACTATATAACACATAACCATATAACCACATAACCATATAACCATATAACCATATAACCACATAACAATACCACATAACCATATAACCATATAACCATATAGAACCACATAACCATATAACCATATAACCACATAACCATATAACCATATAACCATATAACTACATAACCATATAACCATATAACCATATAACCACACATAACCATATAACCACATAACCATATAACCACCTAACATAACCTAACCACATAACACATAACAACATAACCATGTAACCAGATAACCACATAACCATATAACCATATAACCATATAACCACTAACCATATAACCACATAACCATATAACCACATAACCACTAACCATATAACTAATAACCACTATCCATATAACCATATAACCATAGAACCATATAATATATGTATATAGTATGTGTGTATATACAGTGTCTATACACACTATATAATTCATAAAATTATTCTAATATATGTAATGTATATTTCGAACCCTCGTAACATGAAAATATAACCTATGAATGGATTTAACTGACGAAGAGCTGATCCTTTTTTCTTTAGTGATTTCTTCGAATTTTGATTGTCTTGGACTTGAACCGTTTTCAGCTCATCAGGAAACGCTGCTCTCTGTACTCGTTGTAGTATTTCTTCCTCCGCTGCATGTAGCTCATTCAAGGTCAATTGCGTTGACAACAATTCTTCCTTGTTCCAGTGTGCTTCAATATCTTCTGTTGCAATCTTTCGTAGCTGTAACTTCATCCGAAGTTGTTCTTTAAACCGCAACAACCACGCTACCGCACGCTTCAACTTCCACCAACTAGAGAAATATGAGATCAATCTTTCCACGGGATGAACACTAGTTGCTGCAGTGTAAATACGGGCTTCTTTTCTGATTTCAGGATCGTCTTCCTTCATGATCGGTATCTCTTCCCTCTTCGGCTAATAGTCTTCGTTTTTCCACAAAAATTCAGGTCCTTGCAACCAACGATTGTTCTTTAATAAATTGTCCAGTTTAAGTCCTTTTGATCCATCGTCTGCTGGGTTATCTTCCCGATTAACGTATTTCCATTCATTAACTTCCGAACCATTGTGAATGATGGTTAGACGGTTCGACTCAAACGTATAAAATCTCTTGGTCTCATTGTTGATACATTTTAGAACAGATGTAGAGTCTGTCCAATAGAAAATTCTTCCGATTTCCAAATCTAACTCGTCTCGTATTATCTTTGATAATTTCACTGATATAACGGCAGCTGTCAGTTCCAGCCGAGGGATAGAAATTTCACGGTTAGGTGCCAATCGAGCTTTCCCCATAACGAACGCGCAGTATATTTGATTTTTATTGTCAGTAAGACGAAGAAATGCGACTGCCGAATATCCAACTCTCGATGCGTCGGAAAAAAGGTGTAGTTGTATCTCCACAATATCGCCGAGTTCATCAGGTTTGAAACACCGTTTCACGCGTATTTCACACAACTTTGAAAGATCTTCCAACCACCGTTTCCACTGGGCACATTCATCTTCTCCGAGGGGATCGTCCCATCCGATTCCTTTCCTACATAGCATTTGTAACAATAACTTAGCTTTCATGACGTATGGTGCTATGAATCCTAGCGGATCGAACAACGAGTATACAGCCGATACCAGAGCTCTTCGCGTCACTGGTTCTGTGTTAAAGAAGCGAGGCAATTTTTCAGTAACGTCCCAAATGAAAGTATCATCCTCTGTGTTCCACTTCAACCCAAGTGCACTTTCAATCGGAAGTTTCTCTACATCGAGATCGGCCACTGATTTCGCTCTCTCACTCTCCGGAATGGAAGCTAGTACCTTTCTATTGTTACTATACCACTTCGTGAGTCGAAATCCCCCCTTTGCTAGTAGTTCACGACTTTCTTGTACTAAAGCCACAGCTTCATCTGGTTGTTTCACTGATTTCATCATATCATCAACATATATATAGCGTTTTACACAGCAAAAAGTCGCTTTCTTATTTTGAGAAAAAAAACTCATTTCAAGATTTTTTATCTTGAAATGAGAAAAATTTTCATGGGAGAATAGCAAGAAATAATTTCTCGCTAAGAAAACATATCAAGAAAATATTTTCTTTTTTTAAGAAAAAATGTTTTCTTAAAACAAGAAATTTTGGAGAAAAATAATCTTAAAACAAGAAATATAGTAACTATTTTTTAAGAAAAATTAACTTAATTTGAGAAATATTTACTTATATTAAGAAAAATATTCTTGTTATAAGAAAGTGGGAGAATAGCAAGAAATATTTTCTGAGCAAGAATTTTTTTCAGAATGAGAAAATTTTTCTTAAAACCTATTTTCTTGTTTTAAGAAAACATCTTTCATAAGAAATTATAATGTCTAAGTTAGATAAAATTACACCTAAAAAATGAGAAAATATTTTTTACATATAAGAAAAAAATTTTATTTCAAGAAAAACATCCTTGTTTTGAGAATAAATAACTTCAAATGAGACAATTTTGACTATTAAAAATAGCTGAAAATCCTAGTAATATATGCTTTTATAATATGAGTAATAATATACATGGATATTTTACTTAACAAAAGTTCAACCTACTTCTTTATATGACCTTAACATGCTTATACAAGCTAAACTGATGTCCTGTGGCACTTGAGTGTCTTTTAGAATTATAACTTGCAGGACTGGCAATTCTATTTCATGATGTTTTGGATAGTCAATGTCCAACAAATAGAATGAAGCCAGGAAGGCAACAACTGCATCAGCTATCTTTTCAACTGCTGCCCACATCAAAATATGTTTTTCAATAACAATGTAAATACCTTCCTGGTCAATCAGGATGATTGGAAGATTTCGAACTCATTTTCCCCAAAATACTTTAGATCTTCACTGTCAACCTATATATAGAGTACAAACAAAATGAATGCTCATATCAACAATTTAAGCTCACATTATTAATACCTCTGTATAGATTTACATGCAGTTAATTCATGGACTAACTAATTATCCTAAATTTTGTCCACTTTTGTCAGGAAATATCATAGAAATCTTCTTTAGGAGATGTATCATGTTACGACAAGCCTTCTGGATGTTTGGGAGATGGTTATGCTATTGATATTATTGTGATTTAATTGTGACAAATAGAATTTTAATGTATATAATTTCAAAACTTGCAACATATCTAACAACAATCTAACTGGTAAAAATCTGGCAACATATAGGTTTATTGAAATGTAGGCCATAATCATATAGTTTATCAAATACCATGCAACAAGAGAAAAAGTATTTCTTTATAATGCATTAAAATCAAGGCAATAAAAAATAATTAATGTTTTAGTTAACATTACAATGGTAAAAAACATGCATCTTAAAAATAGTCTTACTTTCAAAGGCTTGTTTTCATTTCCATTTCCAGTAAAATAGAGTATATCTATATCTTTCTTCATCTTCTACAATGCCAGTTCCTATAAAAAATTGAAATATTTACCAGGGTGTACCACTTTTCAATTGCAATATGTGTGGGGGAGAGGAATCTAGATACCAGACCCCAGGTCACACAGCACAAATATCTGATAAATTATAAACGTTTACATGTAACAGCATCTGAGTATAGAAAGGCAAATAACAACATACTAAAATACGATTAAGCTAATTATAAGTCAGTCTTAAGCGTGCGATATTTACTATTCGTTTACTAGTAGCAGAATTTTGAGTTTAGTTCGTAACGAATTTAATAGAGTACGTTCGGTTAAAATACTATTAAATTGTAGCAATACTCAACAAAATTAATACCTTCCAATATCTGCTCGCATTCTTTGACCACTCTAGCGATTTGTTCGAGCAAACTTGTCGTTTCTTGATCCATATTAAAACGTATGAATTGAAAAAAATCGATAAAATATCGGCGATCAGTGAAGACGCGTAACACAACAGCGACGAAAATTTGAAAAGGACGCGCTTCTTCCCACAATGCCTTTAGCGCTCTCTCGTTGACCGCGTGATCACGCGCGATATGTCGCGCACACGACGTTATGTTGCAATCCATGCTCCTTTCCATGATAATTAAAATTTAAAATATCAATCTTTGACTTTTGCATTGTAAATCTTACTTTTAGTATATCAAATATTATTGTACATGGGTAGCGAATTAAGGTGGTGTTTTTAGTTCAATAACCAAGCACACCGATTGAAAGGCTAAATGTGACACATTTCTCTCATGATGAAATTTGTTTCTAAAGAGCTTCTTTTTGGAAAAATTGTTTGTACATAAGACTTAGCTTAATATAATTTATAAAGGGAGGCGGACATTTGTTCATTGTAAATAACAATAATTCTATTGTATCAATTTTTTTATACCCCATTAAGTTCTTGTTTTCTTATTATTTTCTTATTCCAAGAAATTATTTTCTTGAAACGAGACTCAGATATAAGGCAAGCTTTCCTATTTTGAGAAATATTTGGGATATTACTCAATATTAATTTTCTCAAATTGAGAATTTCAGAAGTTAAGATAATCTTTCTTATTCCAAGAAATTATTTTCTTGAAACCAGATTCAGATAAGGCAAGCTTTCCTATTTTAAGAAATATTTGGGATGTTACTCAAGATTAATTTTCTCATATTGAGAATTTCAGAAGTTAAGATAATCTTTCTTATATCAAGAAATTATTTTCTCAGTATAAGAAAAAAATTCTAATTCATAAGAATATAATTTCTTGTTTTAAACTCTGTAAATCTGTGGCTTGACGACTTTCTTATTTTAAGAAATTACTTTCTAAAGGAGATTTTATATCCTAGAGTTAGAAAAAAAATTCTCGGTTTAAGAAAAATTTTCTTTATATAAGAAAAAAATTCTTAAGATAAGATATATTTTCTCGATAAGAAAATGATTTTTTGCTGTGTACTGTATCCACTACACTTTGATCAAACTCGCTTTCGTGATCATCAGCTGTTTTCCTTAGGCAGAAATTCGCCACGCTTGGCGAGGATGTCGCACCAAACAAGTGTCTGACCATTCTGTATTCTTTCATTTCTCCCGAGAGATCTGCGTTCGGCCACCATAAGAACCGAAGAGCATCACAGTCCTGTGGTTCAACCAGCACCTGGTGAAACATAGCTTCTATGTCTGAGACTAGTCCCACTTGTTCCTGTCTGAACCGAATTAACACTCCGACAAGCTGATTTGTTTGGTCAGGACCTTGTAATAACTGCTGGTTTAAAGAGGTGTTCTTGTAGGTGGCGGCACAATCATAGACTACTCTTATCTTCTCAGGTTTTGCAGGATGGGTTACCGGGTGATGCAGGAGATACCAAATGGGGTTTTTGCTTGATTGCAGCTGTTCTTGCGGTATCTTCTCAGCATATCCTTTTTCCAGATAATCGTTTATCGTTGAAGCATATTTTCTCAGAAGACTTTCATCCTTTAGTAAACGTTTCTTTAACACCATTCCTCTCCGCAGTGCCATTTCCTTGTTGTTAGGTAAGTAGGGTGGTTTATGTCGCCATGGAAGGGCGACCTGCATGATAATGACCATCCACCTTTTTTAGCGATTTCTCCATCACCGTCAGAGCTCTTCTATCTTCAATGGATTGACAGACATTGGTATCCAAAATACAATCTTCAAAATCAGTTTTCCACAGTCTCTCCAACTGATGATTCAGATCTTGCGGCATGGACTTTTCTTCAACTAAACACGACTTTAACCCAGAGGCCGACCCATTTGAATGTAGCATTGAAATACCTTCATCCGAACTGTTCTCAAGCTGATAATCCTCTTCCATAGGTTGTTCTGGTTCATTCAACAGACACTGTCTGACTCGGGGCTTCACATTTGTCACAGGGCTTTTTGTGTTGCTGTCCGAGCAAATTTCGTATTATAGCAGTTGTTCTTTCTCCTTTCCCCGAGAGGGCCAACAACTGTCCATCC